AGGAAACACTGTTGATTAATCTCTCTTGGCGCAGTAACTGAACCACACTGGATATTTGTGCTTTGCTTAAAAATAATCTAAAACGTTGTCTTCATGCAGAAGAAGTGCTATAGGCCATAAGGCTAAGTCAGGGCCAACCGCAGTGACTATTTCTCTTAGTTCAGGGGAGGGGAAAAAAATCTTTGGCTGAACATGCTGATTATCTCAGTGGGATGAGTGGAGAAATGGGAAAGTAATTAGAGTTATATTCTGTTTTCTAAACTTGGATAGGTTTAAGAAAAGTCAGAGGAACCAAGGCACGCCTTAAAATGAGGAAATAAACAAAGCACTTGCATTTATAATAGTATTCCTGCACTATATATCTGGGGCCTTTGACAGCCTTGAAATATTGATCTGCTATTTAGCAAAGCAAGGTAACTTCTCCTGTCCTTTTGATGAATTTTCCAAACACCAGCAGACAGATTTAACAAAATGATCTGATCCATGTTTTGGGAGTCCCAATTGAAGGCATAAATATATTATTTATTTATTTGTTTGTTTTTTGTCAAACATGTACAAGATAACAAGTGTAGGTATGAACATAAACATGAACTAAGGAAGTAAATACAGATAAATGGGGACAGTAACACAGGGATGGTAGGCACGCTGGTGCGCTTAGACCTCTTAGAAATGGGATGAAGTTCACGGTAGACAGTTTGAGGTTGAAGTTGTGAGGGGTTGAGGAGTCGGAAGTCAATGCCTTTTTTTTCTTTCCCCCTTCCTTTCCCCCACTATTCACTTCCCTTTTTCCTTTCCTAATTTCCCTGATATTTGCTTTTGTATTCCGTTTGTATGTTATATTATAAACTAATAAAAACTATGCAACATTAAGATAGCCCCTCTTTTTTCTGGCTTCTGTGTGAATATGAAGAAAGATGCCTCTATTTTAAGGAATCGGTTCATTAAGGAAGTTAATATAACTTTTAAAGCAGTTACTTTTTTTTTTTTTTACAAAAAGATCTAGGAGGAAAAATGCTTGGCTGATTCACTAAAGATGTGATAATGACAAAGAAATGGTTTTGCTTGGCTGACTGAACAACATATACTGGTTGTAAGTATGTATTATTTGTGTCCAATCGCACTCACTAAGCCTATCAGCCTAGATAAGCCTATCAGCCTACATCATTGTCCAGATTTCCTCACAGAATTCCAGAACTTTCTGGGCTCCCTGTAAACACAGGGAGATCAGGAGTAGCAATTTTAATGATCCTTCTCATCTTGCCATTCCAGAGTGAAACTGGAATTTCAACAGAAGCACTATCCATCTCAAAAAACCTGCAGTGCATTTAGAAATGCCTTGGAATTTATATACTATCCTAATCCTGCAGGGCATGGCTGCCACAGCTAATCCAAAGCTCATCAGGAGATGAACTTATTACAATAATGGGAGTGACTTTCACTTGTCAAATTCATTCCCTGTCAAACCTAATCCTAAAACCATGTTGACAGTACAGCCTATAATTCAGAATCCACTCTAAAGCCGTGAGCTAATGTAACCAGCAATTCATCTAGGGAATTGTGATAGGGAAATATGTATTTATAATCTTTCTTTCTGTCTTTCTTTCTTTTTCTTTTCTTCCTTCCTTCCCTTCTGTCTTTTTCTTTCTTTCTTCCCTTTCTTTCTGCCATTTTCATCGGAAATAAAGAATCGTGGTTGTGAAGGCAGGATTCTGTTGGCTTTATCACAAGAAGAAACGGGGCATGAGTTTGCTGCTTCTATTGTGACCTAATAGCAATAGCTCTTAGACGTATAATATCACTTTATAGTGCTTTACAGCCCTCTCTAAGCAGTTTACAGAGTCAGCATATTGTCCCCAACAATCTGAGTCCTCATTTTACTGACCTCGGAAGGATGGAAGGCTGAGTCAACCTTGAGCTTGGTGAGATTTGAAGTGCCAAATTTCAGGCAGCCAGTAGGAAAAACTAGCAAATAAACCTTCTAGGAGGTTGAGCTCCCCATTCCCTGGTCAAATTGCCATTAGGGGAAATGGTTTGGAACTGTGTTGACGAGTGAATGTGAAACCTGCCAATCAATGCAGATATTACTGAAGCTATAAACAATAGGCTTTGCTCCAGACTTCAACCTATTAGGAAGGCTTGCTGGATAGCAACTTCAGTCTGCTTCAGGTTGGATGCAAGAATGGTCCTCTAGAACCAAAAGGATCCAAACTGTCCAAAAGATCTGGTGAATCCTCAACAGGATTAGGCCTCAACATGTCTAGTTGTTATGTCTCCCCTTTAATTGCAGGCGAGCAAAACAAAAAGCAGCCGTTTCAGAATTAGTTCAAATCAAAAACAAACCCCCACAAGAGAACGGCTGGAGTAAATTCCAATACACAGCAATAAATCCACACTCTGTCCGGCAATCCTGGCGTGGCAGTAAATCACAAGCCTCAGAGAGTTTGCTGCATGTCTTCACTCCCAATTAGTCACTTTGCTTCTGGCGAATTCCACCAGCCCAGCCATGTCCTTTTATTCACTTATGAAGCGTGCTAATTTCCCTAATTAATGACTAGATCGACGCTTCCTTTCTAACTGAGTTTGTCTTCTCAGCCTCCTTCTGTTTCTGACGTCTAACCATAAGTTCTCCAAATTTTCATCTCCACTGGAAAACTCTCTCATGCCTTCCCTGTCAGCCATTCCCGGCTGCTGATCAGATAAAGAACCAGAGGAGGTCGAAGGTCCTGACAACTCTATTACTTCAGGTCTATCTTCCCTTGTTACATCCATCTCCTCATCCTGGTTACTATCCCAATCACTAAGCAATGCTGGCTCATATTTTGCTGCCATGTCCTCATCACTTGAACTCATATCTGCCACAGGAGCAGAATCCAAACCCGGAGCCACAACATCTAGTCTCCTCCATAAATGGAGAAAGCTCTCCTCTTTGGAATGTAGCTGTAGTGCTCCAAAACAGACCGTGCTACTTATTGTGAAAAACTGCCCCCTGAATGCATATCAGGGAACCCCACAGACTTTTGGTATGCAACTCCGTCGTGTACTGACTATATAAATAGTCTACCTTTGAATATGTAAACAGAGTAAATAGTTGCATGTTTCCTCATTGAGAATATAATTGTGATGTGTTTAACATTTTTGCCATATGCTAATTAAATAAAATGTGAAACCACACATTTCCTGCTTTTTAATGTGAGAAGAAACCGGTTCACATACATTTTCTCGCTTGATTGAGATGTATATGGAAGAGGAGTCAAAATTATTACAGAAAAAATAATTACGCTTTGAAAACAAACAGCCCCAGTTCTTTCCCCACTGGCATTTCAATCCAATTAGGAAACCTCACATACATTTGATTGAATTTAATTAACAAAGTTATGGGAGACTGATATGGTGTTCTCCAACTTCTTTAGTCCAGCATTTTGTAATATCACTAGAATCATAATCCATAAGCCATCATGATAACTTTATCCATCCTAGAATGACACTGATGTATATTGAGCCCAATGATCTGTTGGCTGTTTGTCATGAGCAGCTGAAGAATATGTAGCAAGATGACCATCTCAGGCTTCTGACAGCTGCAACTGGTAGAAGCTACAGACATTCTTAGATAAGAAAACTAAAACACGTTGAAGTGAGCTGTTCTTTAGTTTCCCTTCCTTCCCCGTAGATCTGGTATATGGTACATATACTAACCCAGTGCCTATGACTTAATGATCTTGTATACAATTGTGTAACAGGGAAAACTTGAAACACTCACCTTGAATGGAAATTATCACAAAAAAGAACAAAGGTAGCAGCTGTTTTGCTTCTTGAGAAACTAATGCTATGCAGTGCACCTTAGGGTCAAGCTGTCCCACTGAGTTCAATGAGACATGCATAGAATTGCAGTCTTAAACATATGACATTTCAGCCCCAGCAAAAGAATGTCCAGCATCTCTGAAAGTTGACAGATTGCTTACTATCAGCTGAGTTCTTTGGACAAATGTAGTGACCTTAAATCTCTTTTGCTGACTGATGTAGGAAAACTCGTTGATGTTAAGAATTTAACCCCTTCCCTGAATCTGTTTTTTCCTTTCTTTCACAAAACTTTGGGATCTTATTCACATGTCTTCCTCCCTTCCACAGACCCAGTTTTGTTAAGTGGACATGTAGAGATGAAATGGAAAACATGAAATGGGTTTTTGTTTTTTTACTAAATCTTTAAGATCTTTGTAATTTAAAAATTTCTACATGAAGTACCAGTTTGTATTTATGTGTGAGTACAAGCCTATTCATACCTATTCAGGCCCACATATTGGGGGGTGGGGTGGGAAATTGGCATAAAGCTTCGATTAAATTGTTTATTTGGATCATTTTCAGTCTGAGTTTAAACTAGGTTTGAAAACACTAACTATATTTACCTTTGCCAGGAATTTGATACAGAGAAAGTTTCCCCATTAGTTTTCCATATATATGCCATTCTACATTCTTCCAGTTTATTTCCAGGCAATTTCATGATGCTTGTTTCAATCAACAAAACCCTAAACAATTTGCAGCTAGAAAGATTGCCATCTTTTATGCAAATCTGCTTATAATTTATTTTTATATAATTGGAAGCCATATTATATATCCTAAGACTAGAGGGGAAGATTGGTAGGTATGAAACAGGCTTTCAATAGTTGTGACCCAAATACAGAGTTTCTTCTTTCTTTGTCTCATCTGATTTCTCCCCAGGGTAGAATTTAGAGCGGGACATCTCTTGAACCTTCTCAGATTGATAGATAGGGAAGAGTTTCCCATGGAACGTACAGAGAACTATTTGGTGTCAAATATTATATATGTTTCCGAGGTCCTGAATAGCAATACTATTATACAGTATATTTGTCATTTTGTGTAACACATCTTAAAAAAAGAATATATCAAAGCATTGTGATCATGTGTTATATCAGAACATAATGACTCAGGAAGTATTCTTTCTACCAGCCAGAGCCTAGTATGTTCACAAACAAATCTGACTTTTATTATTTATGTACAAGAACCAATTTTAAATAGATATAAAGAAATATGAATGCCATTGCCCCAGAAGAAATAAGCATAAATGTAGCTTCTAGAAAATCTGACATAGACAAACTGGAAGCTGCTATTCTAGAGCCAAAGTTCTCCAGATCATCGTTATCAAATTTCAGGGAGTTTGCAGTGGATCTGAATTCAGGCTCAGGTTCTTCTAATTGTCTGGACACACGAACTGGCTTCTTTCCTAAAACCCTCATATGGTGACATTCACAATGGGGTTGAGAATTTGTGACTTCACAAGGGGGTAGATTGTCTTTTGATGGCAATCTAATAGGGGACACTTTACAGCATCTCTTTAAATGAAGGGAGGGAGAATATTCTTTACAAGACAAAGTGATGTGATCTTCAGATTGACTTTTAGAAGGTAAAGATGAATATTCGTCCAAGTTCTTTTTGGAATGCAAGAGACCGTATTTTGCGGGGTTCTTCCTGGATGGTGAAAAAGAGGAGAGGTTTTCTTGGGGGTGTTTTGTGGATAGGAGCTCTTTCAGAGGAACATTCCCAGGATGAGAAACCGAATGGAAAGGCTGCTTATAAGAAGGACATTTTGCCTTGGTTTCCAACAAGTCCTGTGTACGAGAAAAGCGGGAGCTGTGGAAACAGGAGCTTACATGTGGCATAGTGTCAAAAGCTTTGGAACAGAGAGGGCAGAGGCAATTTAGAGGTGTATCAGGTGACTTGGTTGTTCGATACAAGTCCTTTGTAATTGGACTTTTCCCAGGGACCTCCATCTTTAATGATACTGGATCAATAAAAGAGAAAAGAAACAATTTAGCATCCATAATCATATGGCTATACGAATATGATAAATAAATACAAATAAATATATGGAATGGCTTTAAATGAGGTCAGTCTTATTTCCTACTTTACAATGGTTATTTATTTATGTTTGAATTCTACAGCTGCTCATTGAAAAACCCAACTCTGGGCATCTCTGAGCAATCCCCACTGTCTGCAGCTGAGATCCAAGGTTCTAATCCACATTCTATCAACCCTGCTGCTACCAAAGCTTCCGTCCATTCTGAAGCCGTGTTCCCTGAGGGCGCCTCAACTGAAGAAATGCATAGGCTCAGGGGCCAGCAGTCACAACCAAGAAGAAATGGGGGTTCCATCAGCAAACCAACACAACCACAGCTGTCCTGCTTAAGCTGCGGTGGTAACCATTTGAGGGCAAATTGCCATTTTCAAAATGTTATTTGTCTAAAGTGTCAACGCAAGGGACACTTAGCAAGGGTTTGCAAAAGCAGAAGAAACCTGAATCAACCTTTTCCTTACCAAGCGCAGCAGTGAGTAAATACCCAACCTGAAGAATGTTTTACTATCACTAGGGCTTGCCACACTTCTAAATTGTTTCCCTGTCACTCTTGCAAACTATGTTCTAACAAAATTTATGTTACTGTGTATTTAGAAGGAAAACCTTGTTCCATGGAGGTGGTCCCTCTCCATTGTCTCATGGGGCACCATAAAATGCCTGGTTCCTACTATCGCTAAGAGACAATTGAAACCTTGCCAGGTATTGCTCAAGGACTATCAAGGTAATTCCATTCCGGTCATACGGTCTGGCAGGCTTTCCGTCAAATTCAAGAACTTTACGGGTCGCCTTTCCCTTTTAATTGTGGAAAGCACCCTGCCTAGCCTTCTGGGATTAGATTGGTTCTCTGCTTTGGATTTGAAAGTAAATGGCATTCATTCCTTACAAAGCCAGAACATAGAAAATAATTTAAACAAGTTTGCTGACGTATTTAGAGAGGAATTGGGCAAATACAATGGCACCCCAATCTCTATCAGTTTGGACCCCTTAGTGGTGCCCATTCGCCTTAAGCTGCGAAGAGTTCCTTTCGCCTTGCGGGCGAAAGTAGATGTGGAGTTAGATAAATTAATTTCACAGGGAATATGACAGCCTGTTAATTTCCCAAGATGGGAAACCCCCATCATTTCCCTGTTAAAGAAGGATGGTTCTATTCACCTGTGTGCAGACTACTGAAGCACACTGAACAAGGCTTTACACCCAAACGCATACCCGGTGCCAGTTATCCAACCCGGTGCCAGTTATTACACTCCTTGGGAAAAGGGTGCATTTTCGCAAAGCTGGATATGGCCCAGGCATATCAGCAGCTTCCCGTTGACAATGATGAAGCCGAAGCACAAACTATTGTCACTCACCGGGGAGCCTTTAAATGCACCCGGTTGCTGCACCAGGCATTTTTAAAGCATTATTGAGCATCTTCTTCAAGGCATGGAGGGTGTCATTCCCTATTTCGATGATGTCCTTATCTCTGCAAACAATCTAAGCGAACTTATTTCACGTCTCAGGGATGTCCTGTTCCGTTTCCAAAAAGCCGATTTAAAACTTATGAAAAACAAATGCAAATTTGCTGTCCCTCAGGTGGATTTCTTAGAGTACCGCATTGACACTACCGGACTCCACCCTATTGAATCAAAGGTTAAAGCAGTCAAAGAGGCCCCAACCCCTCCATGCAAGGCTGAGCTGCAAGCTTTCTTAAGTCTGCTAAATTTCTATAGTTCCTTCCTGCCGCACAAAGCATCAGTGGCTGAGCCCCTTCATAGACTGCTAGACGTTAAGATGCCTTGGGTTTGGTGCCAAAAGGAAGCTACCTCTTTCAAAGCTGTCAAGGCAGTCCTTAGCCACAAAGTTCCAAATGGACACGAGGCACCTATGCATATTTCTCAAGAACCTTGTCGAGCACAGAGAGAAATTACAACCAGTTGGACAGAGAGGCCCTCGCTGTGGTCACCGCTGTTAAAAAATTCCATGAGTTTTTGTTTGGACATTATTTTGAAATAATAACCAATCATAAACCTTCATTAGGACCTTTGGCAGGTAACCGGCAAACTCCTAACATTCTTTTGCCTTGTATGACCCAATGGTCCTTGTTCTTATCAGCATATTCCTACACACTAATTTATTGTGCCGGCAAATTGATTAGTAACACTGATGCTTTGAGCCGCTGCCCCCTGCCAGTATGAGTTGAAGACCCCACTACTACATCGACTGTCCTGTTAATCGACGACAATCAATTGCTCAATACAGCATGTGACATAGCTCAGTTCTCCTCTAAGGATGAGGTAATCTCTAAAGTATTGGATTGGGTGAGGAGTGGGTGGCCAAAAGAGACGTTGGCATCTACATTCACTCCATACAAAGCTAAACAATATGAGTTGTCCACCCAAATGGGCTATCTACTATGGGGGTGTAGGGTAGTAGTGCCCAGTAAATTACAGCCCCGGGTTTTGGAAAATCTACATGAAGGGCATCCCAGGGTGGCCAGGATGAAAGCTATAGCTAGGAGCTATGTATGGTGGCCTAGGTTGGACATGGACATTACTGAAGCAGATGGAGCCTGCCAGGTTTGTCAGTTGTCAAGGCCTGAACTGCCCATGGCCACACCTTTTGAATGGGAATCAGCTAGAACCCCCTGGTCAAGAGTGCATATCGACTTAGCGGGCCCCTTTAAGGGCTGAACGTTTCTAATGCTTGTAGATTCGTATTCTAAATGGGTGGAGCTCATGCTTATGCACTCAGTAAGATCAGAAGCTGTACTTAAGGCACTAACCCAGTTATTCGCAACTCATGGGTTACCCGATGTGTTGGTGTCTGATAATGGGCCCCAGTTTACATCCAACACATTTGAAATATTCTTAGCAAAGAGGGGTATCCGACATGTTTTGGTTGCGCCCTATCACTCGGCATCGAATGGCCAGGCTGAGAGAACAATAAGGTCTGCCAAAGAGACCCTATGGAGGATGGGAGGGGAGGATTGGCATGAGAAATTAGCCAAGTACCTTTTAATCCAACACGCGACACCAAGCGCAGCCACTAACTGCTCCCTGGCGGAGCTCCTGATGGGTTGGCAGTTGCAGACAAGCCTTGACAGGTTGCACCTGAATTTTTCCCCTTCCTGTCCCTTAGATTCCTCCAGCAAGTTCAGGGCTTTTAAACTATATGACCCAGTTTATGCAAGAAATTTTGCAGGAGTTCCTTTATGGGTACCCGGGGAGATAATTGCTGTCACTGGCCCAAAATCCTATAGAGTTAGACCACCTGATGGCCGGATATGGCGGTGGCACATTGATCAATTGTGAGGTTGGTGGAACGCATCCATGGACCACTGGCCTGATGGCGACTGACAAGATGGCAACCGATCAATAAACAGTGAAACCAATGATCCCAAACTCCAGATGATGACTGCTGAGCCGCAACTCTAGCAGGACTTACCTTTCGACGTTTCTTCAAGTCAACAAGAACCTTCTGCATCCACATGCCCTGAGTCGCTGCCACAAGAGACAGCTGGTCGCACACCTGACCCCTCACCAGTGGCTATTCCAACTGAACCATGTAGGTCGGGCCGAGTCAGGCGACGCCCCGCCTACTTGCGAGAGTACGCATGCCTGTAACTGGGGGAAAGGGGTGTTACGTACCGACATGGTCCTCGTTCTAGTCCACAGTTCTGGCGGGAGTTGTAGCACCTCTTCATTGACTGTCTAGGCTGACAGCTGCAATATAAAAGGAGCTGTCAGGCGAGTCAGCTGTTGCCCACCACCATGCGCGAACTTACTAGCTTGTGGCAGCCACAGGTAGTCAGTTAATGTTACAATAAATGTTCTAATCATTTAGAAAAGGGTTGTCTCCCATTACTGACGCCACGGCCATAACAGTTATGAAAATCGATTTCATTTATTCTCTTTAATGTGGTGCATTTCCTTTATTTTTTTGACAACACTTGTTTAAGTTCAGCTTTTTAGTAATTATCTTTGTACTACTCTCTCGGTTTTTAATAATATCCATATATTTAAGAAAGGTAGTTTATGTATATTTTCCACACTGTAAACATTCCTTTAACTATTGCTTTTAATTAAACTTTAAGATTCCCCACACTGCATATTAAGACTTCCATGTGTACAAGGAAAAAAAAATTAGTTAAATACCCTGAATTGGGAGTCGGGGGTGGGGGAGGAGAAATCAGAGAGTGAAAAAACAGATGAAGCAAGGAATAATATTCAGTAAAGTTTTCTTTTCATTACTCATATGTTTATGCAGCTTAATTATTCTTTACATTTCTTTTTCTTAGACTTCTACATGTTACTGAAACCTTTTTAAAGAAACAGAAACTTGCAATTAAAGGCAACAGAATTTCTTGGGGCAAAGGAGAGAGGAATAAAAAATATTTAAATTCCCAATACTTGTATTCATAAAATGAAACTTGTAAAATTTCTTTTGCATATTAGATTTCTGTATGATACTGAAACCTTTTTTTAAAAAGCAGAAACTTGCAATCAAAGGCAACAGAGTTTCCTAGAGCAAAGGAGAAAGGAATAAAAAAATCTTTAAATTCCCAATAATTTTATCCATAAAATGAAACTTGGAGAAAACCCCAGAAACATCTTAAGGACATGGGGATATCTGATAGTGAAATCTCCCCCAAATTATTATTTTTTTAAATTGAAGTTTAAATCTAAGAGGAATTGAACTTAGTGAGCCACAACTGAGAAAAAAATGTACCATTCAGCTTTAAAATCAGTAAGTAAACAATTACAACCACCCACCCACCCCCCAAAAAACCACATTTTTGCTAGGTCTGGAAATACCTGGCCAGAAAGGATCAATAGGCATTTTAGAGAAAGGAGTCAGAAAGGAACAACCATGGGATAGAGAGAGACTTCAAAAGTTCCAGGACTTTTTCAGTTAGTGGGCATTTCAACTGTCACTCCAACAGAATCCTCAATCTTTTTGTCCATCCTTGCTACATGGCCTGTCAGAGATCCTAAAAGATTCCTCTATCCAGCACTCTTTTAAAGCCACTCCGCTTTTCCTCTTCACAAATAAACCAGGGCCCTGCTTATTGCCACATCCAAGCTGTCGTGCTACATTAATAGTTCAAAAAAAAACCAACCCCACCCTTTTATTAGAAAGCTGAGTAAATTCTCTTTGGATGGACTTTGGAATGAGAAAATAAAGAATAAGTTGAAAGGTAGTATTAGGATCTAATAAGCATTTTGCTTAGCATGAGTAGGCTGTTCTCAGTCAAAGGACATACTTAATAATAGGCATTATTAAGTTTAATCTCAGAAATTCAATAGGCAGTTAATAATAATTGGTCAACATCTTTCTAATATGTTTCTTGGGACAAACCATAGAGTGCCTCAGTTATAGATAGAAGGCAGCACATTCACGACTTCAGGTTTTCTTAAGAATCAAAGCGAGGTTTTTCTGAGTTTCTATACATATCAATATCATACATACCATACTGAGTTCAAAAAGGAATTTTGAATATCCTGCATAGTGGTAGTCCTCAACTTATTTATTTATTGAATTTATATTGCCATGAGGACACAAGGCAGCTTACAGAATATCAAACAACATTTAAAACACTAAAACTAATAAAAAGAATAAAATAAATCAATATATTATAATATAATAAAATAAAATATAACTTACCACACTCATTTAGCGACAGTTCAAAGTCACGATAATCCTCACCCCTCATTCCCCTGGTCATGTGACCAAAATTCAGGCACTTGGCAACTGGCCTGTATTTACAAAGGTTGCAGCGTCCTTGAGTCATGTGATTACCATCTGCAGCCTTGCCAGCTGGCTTATGACAAGCAAAACTGATGGAGAAAGCCAGATTCGCTTAACAACCGTACGGTTTTGCTTAACTAGGGTGATTTGCTTAACAACTGCAGCAAAGAAATGGTTGTCAAATTGAACATGACTCACTTAACAGCCACCTTGCTTAGCAAGGAAAATTTGGGTCGCAATTGTGGTCGTAAGTTGAGAACCGCCTGTACAAAGTTCAAATGAGATATTTGAGAGAATGGATGAACTGCTGTGGTTCGCCGGCAGCAGGTGAGGACAGCTGAGGTCTCGGAGAGTGAGGACTCAGATGAGGGGCCTGCGTGTGATGAAGGGATGGGGCCAGGACCATCAGGGAGTGGAGTGCTGCCTTTGGAGACTGTGGAGGCTGACAGCAGTGATGCAGAGGACCCCAAGGAGCCTGTGCCCAGTGCATGTGCATGCAGGGCTGCTCGTAGGAAAGAGCAGCTACAGCAGCACAGGCAACTCGGGAGTAAGGTTGCAAGGTAATGGCCCCTCCTCTAAGAGATAAAAGCCAGCCTGAGAGACCAGTATTCTTTGCAGGAAGCAAAGAAGTTCTTGCATTTCAAGCCTTGTGGAATTTCGGACTTTCTTGGTTAGTGTTTGAATACTTTTTGTTTGGAATATTTCTTGGCAACTTAATCTAGTGCTTTTGGCAGCCTTGCACAACCTTGGCAAGGCTCGTTCTTATCAGAGACAATTAATTTTAATAGCCTTTTAACCATGAATTAACGGAATTAGCAGAGAAGCATTAAAAGGTTTTGCTTTTATCTCTGTTTGGTGTTTGTTTACTTGGAACAAGGTTTGAGTCAGAATATGAGCATAGAAGGTATGGGCAATTGACAAAACATAATTCAACTCTGTTGATATAATGGACACTAAGCTGCATCTACAGCTGAACCTATGCACATTTTCTCCTTTGCTTTATATGCACAGAAACCTATCCTAGTCATGTAAATGACAAGTGTAAATATAATCTGTGTTACATGTAATTTTCTAAATGTGGTTATTTTTCTTTTCCTAGAAGCAGGCAGGAATAATATGCATAAATGTGCGATGCCTGCTTTCCTGGTTTGAAGTCTACATTGGGTCTGGATGAGGAGTTCAGGTAGTCTTCAACTTGCAACAGTTCATTCAGTGACAACGCCATTTGAAAAAAAAGTGACTTATGTCCATTTTTCACACTTATGACTGTTGCAGCATCCCCCTGGCCACATGATTTTCATTTGGAGGCTTGACAACTGGTTCACATTTATGACAGGAGTCACATGATCATCTTTTGTGACCTTCTGAAAAGGAAACTCAATGGGGAAACCAGATTCATTTAACGTCCGTGTTACTAATTTAACAACCGCAGTGATTCACTGAACAAATGTGGCAAGAAAAGATATAAAACAGGGCAAAACTCACTTAACAAATTTCTCACTTAGCAACATAAATTCTAGGCTCAATTCTGGTCGTAAGTCAAGGACTACCTGTAGTTGATAGGAAAACTGCATAAAAGTCTCCTCTTGTATGCTACATTTCTCAAGATAAATTAGCTGCAACTACAAAATCTTGCAGCGAGCCCCAAGCACCTTACTGTGTGCCACCAGGGAAGTTGAGGGCTGACCTAATCCTTCTTGCTTTAAAGAACTACCCTGATAAAGGTTGGGAGGTATACTGGGGCTTGTCAATCCCCATTGAGTAATTCAGGGAGTGTTGGACAGTAGCAGACTCTGTGGTGCCACACTTCCTAGCAGGCAATTGTCAAAAAGCCAAAATATTCTGGGAGGGGCATTTAGGGTGGTTATGAGTGTGAGTTTGTAATCTACACTCATTGTTTCAATGGATTACTTTTGAAATCAGGGTCGAAATATCTCCCACACCTACTTTTACATGTTGAACTGTCATTGTTTAATCTCCAGGAACATTTATCAGGTTACAAGTATACACTTTACTAGACAGATGTGTTTATTAATTTGATAGCTGAATAACTGGTGGGACTTAACACTACATGGTGCTTTAGGTTCGGTTACTTGGTTTTGGTATACTGCTGTAATACAGAATAAAACAAACAAAATCTTTCTTTCTTAGCAACGGCTTAGCTCCAAATTCTTGCTTGTATGTGTAGTTTTATTTAAACATAGCTTTAAAATACAACCTTTTTGACACAATAATAATAGCAAAACATCAATAGCCAAAGTATTGGAGAAAATGCAAGATATTCTATTTTTAAAATAATCACAAGCTTTTTTATTTTTGCTTTTCTGAAGTGGCAAAATGTAAGCATTTAAGATGAGGGAAGGGGTACTACAATTTAGCCCAGTCTTTTATTTTGGAGTAGCTTATGGTTTTTGGATATCTGGCTGTTCCTAGGTCAAGAGCATATTGTTATCGGTTTTCTGAAGGAATATAGGATGACCCTTTCCATTACAGGTATGAAGTCCTTAGTGGCTATTTACATACCATAAGAGTCTTGATGGCAGCCATAGATAAACCAAAAATGAGGAGGACACTCTATTTAATATAAGGAAAGACGTACACATGAAAGGAAGAGATCTGTTTCCTTCATCTTATCCTGAACAGTTTATCATTTAAAACAGTGGTGTCTGTCAGGCAGTACTCCATTCAAAATCCAAGAAAGAAATACTTAGACTCTTTTAATTAGAGAAAAGGTATCTTTTACTGGAAATGAAGTGGTAGCAACAATAGAATTTTGAATGTGAGAAATTAGGCGCGTAAACCACATATACAAAGTGATGGAAATGTTCCCACCCCCAATAGTTCAGATGAGTCTTCCAATTACAAGTTGTGAATATGATCATGTGGACATCCTCAGGTGGTGATGAGGCTTCCGTCCGTTGACCTTGGCATACTTTGATAAAAGTTTACAGTTGCGCAGAGGAAAGAAAGCTAAGCAAGAAATAGAAACCTAAGCAAGAATGTCCTCTTCCCCCTCCTCATTTTATACCACACTAGAATGTAACACCTCCAGCTCGCTTCCCAGACTTTACCCCCGGCCTCCCCTCCGTTACTTATGACAGCCGAAAGATGCAAAGCAATAGTAGAAGATCTTGAAGGCTGACAGTGTCAAACTCAAGTCATCACGGCAGGGGCAGGGGCATGGCCAGCATGTGATGCATCTGGCCCACAGGCCAGGAGTTTGACAGCCCTGATTTAAAACATGTTTTACCTAGCCTAATTTTTGAAGCTAGTAGAACTGGGATGGTTAAAATCAGGAAGGCCAGTCCGTTTTTCACACTATCCTTGGGTTTTCTTTTGTATGTAAAGCAGATTTTAACAATACATACATACATACATATATAAATACTTCTTATTTAAGTGGAGCAAAAAAAAATATGGATAGGCAATTATGTCAGCATATCTAGTTTGGACCTAATGAGTAGCTTGCCAGTTTACAAATCCAGTACCAAATGATTCAAGGGCTTTAAGAATAGCAGCTGACAACTAATAGCTAGCCGTCCACTAGACAAGAAAAAAACTTACAGAAGAGAAAGGACCCCCAGCAAAGGTAGGTGAGAACAAATTCTCCCATGGTTTACAGGAAAGCAGCATGATACCAAATTAGTCCATAATTAAATTGAGAAAGATAAAAATTCTCTCTCCCACTCAAAAAGAAAAAGAAAAAAGAAAAAAAACATGGCTCCTAGTCCAATCCACCATTGTGTGGGAGAAAGGTGCATAAATGTGATCCTTGATTTTATTATGTTAAGGCTTATATTTGATACACATCCCTTACTGGAATTTTTATTGCAGCTTCATTACTTTTGGTACAATAAATCTACTTGTCAGAGAAGGAGTGTCCTTTCAGCTTCTTTCCTAGCCAGCTGGGAGAAGTCTGACTGCTAGTAGATTTGACCCCATCACAGAGAATTTATTCCTGTTTATGGCCTTCAAAAGAAAAAAAAAGACACCCACCATTTGTACATTAAAATAAAAAGATTATTGAAAAAGGATAAATTTTTAATCCAGGATAGCCATTTTGGGGCACTATTGCATCAGAAATTTAGAATTATAAACACAGGTGTCAGATATTCTTGGACCTACTCTGCCTGTAAAATAAGAATAATATTGATCTGTCTCCTGGCTTGATTAAACCCGTTTACTAAATAATTCATTCTTTGATTCAGGTAGAGAATAGACTATGGCATATCGCTTCAATGTTGAAATAATCGAATAAATTATATAAATGTGGGAAATCTATTCCTCTGTTGGGGAAAAATGTATATTGAATTAATTACTGAAATATCTCTGGCAACAGACAAGAAATTCTTTGGAAAATAGTAATCATGCTAGTTCATTGGAAACATATTGTTCATTGGGGAAACTTAAAACCAAAGAAAATGGATCATTAAAAAAAGAAAAAGAAGGGAAAATATAAAAACAAATGCCCGGGGAACTTTGGGATCCTTATATTGATCAGAAACATACTCTCCTATCTAACATGTTCACTTAATCTAACTCAACAGAAATGAGACTCAAGTGGGATTTGTTACTACTACTATAGGAAAGATGTCTGAACTGATAAGAAGAGAAGAAACAATAGGTGGCTAAGGAGGAACTGAGCCTTAAATTGATCCTGCTGTATGAATACAGGTAGTCCTTGACTTACAACAGTTCATTTAGTGACCATTCAAAGTTACAACATCACTGAAAAAAGTAACTTATGACCATTTCTTACACTTATGACCATTGCAGCATTTCCACGGTTATATGATTTACATTAGGATGCTTGACAACTGGTTCATATTTATGATGGTTGCATTGTCCTGGGGTCACATGATGCCCTTTTGCGACCTTCTGATAAGCAAAGTCAATGAGGAAACCAGATCCACTTAAAAACTGTGTTACTAATTTAACAACTGCAGAGATTCACTTAACACAGGGGTGTCAAACATAAAGTCCGTGGCCCAGATGCAGCCCATGATGTGGTTGCATCAGTGGTGGGATTCAATTTTTTTTACTACCGGTTCTGTGTGCCTGGCTTGGT